ATATTGTTAGCTCAGCCGGAAATGCAAATTAGAATTCTTGTTCTTTCAGAAAAGTCTTTTCAATCTTCTAGATACAACACTTTCATGGCGGGAGTGGGAGGAAGGTGGAGTGAGTGTTTCCTGGGGACACCGTACCATCTTAGGATATTGACTACATTCTGGGGATATAGTCATGGTTGCATGCCAGTCTGAATGTTCACCTCCAAATTGGTTAAAATGATAGAAGGCCTGGGTGGCTCAACCCTTTAGTCTTGGCTGCTTTAGAATCTTTAGAAGGAAAATCTTCATCTAAAAGGAAAAATGGTTACAGGGCTGGAGAGATGGCAAAGGACCAAGAATAGTGGCCGCTGTTCCAGAGGACCCAGGTTCAATTCGTAGCATTCACATTGCAGTTCACAGCTGTCTGTAACTCCAGTTCCATGGAATTTCATGCCCTTTTCTTGCCTCCTCGGGGACAAGGAATGCATGTGGTACACAGACATACATGCAGGCAAAATATCCATACACATATAATGAATAAATAATTTTAATTGGTTAAATTTGGATTTTGTGTTGCATATCTGTGATCCTAGTATTCAAAAGTGGAGGCAGTGCATCTTAATTTCTTGATCATCTTGAGTTATATAATTTAAAAAATTGGTTGAAGTCCTAAGGCGGTGCTGGTGGTGGACACCTTTAATCCCAGCACTCGGGAGGCAGAGGTAGACAAATGTCAGTGAGTTCGAGGCCAGTCTGGTCTACAAAGTGAGTTCCAGGACAGCCAGGGCTGTTATACAGAGCAACCCTGTCTCAAAAAAACAAACCAAACAAACAAACAAAAACAAAACAAAAATTACCCACCCCAAATCAGTCCCCTTGTCATTTCGAGCTAGACTACTTTGTTATCTCCTCTCTACCTGACTCATTTTGCTACTAGGTCATACTAACTTTTCACCTGCTAGAAGATCCTCGAAGTGTCCCAAGGCAAATTGTCTCATCAGCAACATGGACTTGTGACATATGCAGGCTCTTTAGCCTGTGTGTGTGGAGCTGCAACCTACATTTTGAACTTCCGGGGAATCCTGATGAGGTGGATTACAGACTACCCTTGAGAAATAACTGCCGTGTATTGGCTTTGTCCTTTCCTTCTGTGACCTCTGTTTTCACCCTTCCCTGGGCTGGCCCTCATCACCCCACCCACACCTGGATTAGTACAGCAGCTGGTCCACCATTATCCCTTGCCTGTTTCAGCCTCTCTAGTTGCCAGAACCCATCATCTACAAATAATTCTTGCTTCACACCATTACCCTACTCAGAAATTTCCTGAGACCTCTAAGATGCTATATAAAGGCATTTGGCTTGTGGCCTGCCAAGCCAGCTTCCTGCCCTTTTCTTTTTCTCTCTGCACTCCTGTCTTTCCCCACCTCACTGATTTTTTTTTTTTTAAATATGGTAGCCTCTGCTAGTTTGGACTTATTTCCTTTCCCTTTCCAACTCTCCATGTTGTACCCATATTTGGACGTGAAACATTACACTACATGGGAGAAATTAAGAAAACTATTGAGGTGGTTCATCCCATTTCTTCAGGCATCCATCTCACCTCCTCTATATCCCTGATTTGCCTTGCACCAGCTATATGGCTTTGGCCAAGGAACCTAACTTCTTTGTACTTTACTTAGTGTTCTCATTTTCTCATTGGTAAAATTAAAATGTTTATTATTGGTGGCATTCAGCTGGAGATTAAACCCAGGACCTTTTTTTTTTTTTTTGTTCTGGCTGTGCTCTCTATCACTGAACTACACTGTGTCTAAACAGGGACTTTTAAAAGAACAATAATTCATTTATTTTTTTTCTGCATTGTAATTGTGAGCTGCCATGTGGGTACTGGGTATTAAACTCAGGTCTTCTGGAAGAGCAGCCATGTTCTTAACCACTGAGCTATCTCCCCAGCCTTCCCAAACAGGGATTTTTAATAGGACATACCTCATAGGCTTGTGGAGACAATTTAAAAAGTCAATAAAATTGCTTATAGAGGTGTGTGACATAAACTGTCATGTAAGTGACAGTATGATTGTGATCTTTACCTCGTCCAGCCAGCTCCTTTCTAGAAACCATTTCTTCTTGGAATATCGAGCTCATAGAGTCCCTGGTAAAGCCTTGACTTTGACAAATCCAGGGCTGGGGGTGTTTAAATGTTCAGTGTTTGGGTCTGAGTGTGTTTGTCTGTATCCCTCTCCCAGGGACTGGGCTGTCTCTCAATCTGTAATTGGCCTGCTAGGAGGAGAAAAGGTAAGATTTGAAAGTAAAGGTTTCTAGAAAAAGCATGATGATGCTAGTACAACTTCAAAACATCCCCCCAGGAGAGTGGGCTCTGCAGTTTCCTTCCTGTGTGCTTTCTCCTGTCTTTCTATACTCCAGGTGCAAATGGCCCTGCCTCCTCCTCCAGTCAGTCCCCACTGGCTCTCCAGGAGGCCTCCCTCCCAAGATGCTTCCTTTGTGCTTGTCCTGTGCCAGGGGGCCTTACTCCTTGTACCCAAGGCAGCCCCTTTCTGTAAGTCATGTGGTCCCACTGTGCGTGTGTAACTAAACCTACTGTTCTAGTATTCAAATGAATGTCTCTGCTTTTGTGGATAAATACAAGCAATTCTTTAAAAAGCCACACTGAATTCAATAATTTTGTTCTTTGCTTCCTCCTTCATCTCCTCCTTTTTCTCTGTTGTTGTCAGCAAAGATTCAAAGTTTAACTACTATGGACTTGAGGGAGGTCTGAGAATAGTTTTGACATTTCAAGGGGAAACTGCTGTATCCTGAGGCCAGTGGGAACTCTGGGAGCTACACAGAGCCCTCTGCCTCTCAGTTTTCTGGTCTGTTTAATGGAGCTAAACCATAACTGCCTTTTTCATAAGGAGAGGAAACACAATTTTGCCTCCAGGAGGGTTACAGAGCAGAGCTCTATGATCATACCAGGAGGACTGCCAGGAAGATCGATGAGACAGTAGATCAGAGTTCACCCAGCAAGTTGGCATGCCCAGAAGCAAAAGATTACTGCTTCAAGTCTCATTGTTGTGTTCTGGGTCTGTTGGGACCAGCTGCAGCTAGAACTTCAAAAGCCATGAAAGCCCACCAGTGATGTTTTTCTGCTCCTTGTATGGAGCAACAATAACAAAGAGTTGCTCCTGTGTGTGAATAACAAACCTCTAAAGTTCCTCTTATCTGGTCTAGTAACCACTGTGGCCTCCGAGGTTGCAGTTGTTTGTCTCTGTTTAGGCCCGGTTGCCTAGGGAACAAAGTTGTTCTCTTTACCACTAAGTGACTGTGGGACAAGTTTTTTCCCCTTTCTTGTACAAAAAGTGCTTGTTGACCAGAGGGTTTGATGGGCAACTTTCTGCCCCTCCTCACTCCCCCTCCCACTCAGACCTCTTCCTTTCCTCACGCTCTCTCCCCTTTGAGACAAGGGGACCCTAGGCTGTCCCTGAAATTCTTGTCTGCCTGCCTCCACCTCTCACCTACTGAGATTATATCAGACATGTATACCACACCCTCTTTCCCCACCTGCCTCCACTCCCACCTTCCAGTCTTTGTAATACTGTGGATTAAACCTTCCTTTATTCATCTGTTATTTTTCAGCTAGAAAACAGGGGTGTGAAGTCTATGGGTGTACTGAATAGTCCAAAAGTCCCTGGCCTTGTTTTATAGGGAAAGGGCTTGGGAATGAGGATTGAGAAAGCCAGGTCAGATGAGGGATGGGTGCTTGAAAGCTGACAGGGTGATAGCCCCCAGTTTGTATCTATGCCAGCAGCTGTGTATTTGGCACATCATGAGCAAATTGACAGGTGTGCACAATGCACTTGGCATCCTGAGTAGCAAGGTTCAAATTAGGTAGGGAAAATGGGGCTCAGGAGGCCAGCCAACAGAGATGTGCAAAATTAGGAAAATGTTTTTGACAATTGGGAAAAACAGGCCAATATGTGCAAATTTGACAGAGAAGGAGGCATGTCCTTTTAATTTAATTTGGGTAGTAACTGGGCCAAGTCATCTTGGTCATTTTTGAGGCTTATGATTTAAGAAAAATGAAAGCTCTGTTCAATCGCATGTGTCTAAGTAATAGTTGTGTGTTCTACAGGAAGCCCAGATTAAATGCAATGGCTGGCATAGGGGAAACTCCCTATGTAAACTTACAATTGGGCCAGAATTAAGTCCAGATGAGCATGCGGCGGAAGAGACACTAAATGTTCTTCAATAGTCAGACAAACTGCAAAGAAATATGGGTAGGAAAGGGAGGTAGTAAGTAGCCTTCAAGAGGTGCAGAGGGAAGCTGAAATAGATTTTGCCCACACCACTGGTGGATGTTGTGAGAGAACTCCCAGGATTGGTGGAGAAGTAGGAATTGAAGGTATCTTTCTTTGGGTGGGGTGGGAAATGCAGACTAAAAGAATGCAGCTTTGCCACCTCACACAGTCTCCCTTTTCTTACTAAAGTACTTTTACTTTGTCAAGATCAAGGGTTCCAAGTAGATTTTTAGAATGCACTATAAGAGTGACAGACTTCAGAAGCAGGAAGAGCCCCACCTGTGTTAACTTGGCTCATCTCTTGTTCCTACAGAAATATACCATACCTGTTTAGAAATATACCATACCTGTTTCTTTGAGAGCATTCTTGGGGGTTATTTTTCCAAATTTCCCCTCAAGCTCAAGTGGGGTGTTAATAGTCATTCATTCTGTAGCTTTCATATAAAAGAGCAGGATGGAGTAGGAAGGTTAAGTTGAGTCCAAGTTTTTATAAGAGCTGTGTGACTTTGGACAATTTACATAAACTTGTTGAGTCTCAGCTTCCTTGTGTGGTGGACAGAGAGCTATAAGAGCACAAGCATATTCTTCATAAAGAATATGTGGATGACATACCCTCATGGATACAGCTTAGGTCTGGCCCCACTGGCATGTTCAACAAATAATGGACACACTAGCAAAACATTTTGCTTTTATCAAGTGCCGACCCAGTTTACATATACAACAGACACCAAGTTTATTTTTAGAAAAAAAGAGCAAAGTTTATTGAAATTTCAAGCTACATCTGAAAAATCAAAATCCAAATCCTGAAGACATACAGCAGGATAAGGTGTCAGAATGTGTAAAGTGTTCACTGTCACAGAACCTTCTTACACAAACTTCCTGGGTACATCTCCCAGCACCCCCAAGGGACCAAAACTACTTATTCCTGTTGTCCACCACAGGACTCCATACTTTGATTAATCCCAAAGTTTCCCACAAAAAATAAAAAATAAAAACAAAAAAAACCCCAAAACAACAACAAAAACAAAACTAACAACAAAAACAAATAAAAAACTTTTCTCAAACAAAAAGGTGAAGTCCACGCTGATCATCTCTCAACCCCATTCTATGTAGTCAGCACCAATGAATGGTGGGTTTGGCATTCAAAAGAGGACTTCACACGTCTTCAGTGGATAGATGAGGGAGGGCTGCAGCAGCAAGGCATCTGTGACCGCATTGTGAGGCTGGTCCCCCTCTCCCTCCCTTATATCTTGACTCTTAGTTAATCTAAATGACAAAGTGGATCAATTTGGTAAGTTAGCACAGTCAAAAAATTAGCTTTAAGAGGTAAGGGACCAGTCAGTACTCCCAAAGCTGATTAGGCCCTTCAACATGTAGGTGTATGTGTGTGTGTATGTATACATCACTACACTAAGATATAGATCTAGCCCTATGGGTATATATATACATTTATGGCTATATAGAAAAACTATGCCAATACTAACCAAACAGAACTTTGTAAGCGGTCATCCCAAAGCTGTAATCCCACACTGGGCTGTGCACAAAGCCATGCATTATACCATATTAACCAACAGAAGGCTGACTTGGCTCAATCTCTCCCATCTCTGCCCCTGCCTGAGCAAATCAGAGGAGAAGAGAGAGATTGCCTCTGCCTAAAACACAAGTGGCTTCTTCATAGAACAGTTGTCAGATGAAGCTGTGGAAGATGTATGTCCATGGAAATGAAAAACAGACCCCTTATACTTTCTGGAGCACACTGGCATTACATCTCAAACTACTTTCTCCTTTGCCAGCTGTAACTAAGTTGCCCAGGTCCTGGAAGGCCCTGGACCCGGTACCATGAGAGGCTCACTGGCTTGGGGTTACTAGGCCCCATGCAACTCAGTTTCCAGAGACCTGCTATTTGTCAGGGGTCTGTCACTGGAGTGGACCCAGATGGCCGTGTCCTTGGTACATCTCTTGGCACCAGCTATGTTAGGTGTAAAGTTCTCCACATGAGATGACGCTTGGGGAACCAAAAAACAAACCGGAAAGAACTAGGTAGAACAAGTTGTGGCTCTGCCCACCCTGAGGACAGAGCCACTTACACTGCAGAACCATCAGGGGCTTCTGGGGTTTCTGGGGTTTCTGGGGCTTCAGGTGCTGGCTCTTCAGGGCTCAGCCGGGACTGGAACTTTTCCAGCTGCTCCGGGCTTGCCAGGGTCTTCAGGAGGGTGTTCTCACGCTCCAGCTGGGAGTTCTTCTCCACCAGCTCACGAATCTGCTCCTTTAGGATCTCCACCTCCTCTCTCACAGCATACATCAGATGATTCTTCACTAGATCCTGTCATGTAACAAATCTATTTGTTAGCCATCATGGCCACTCAGCAGCACTGTCACCCTGCCATCAATCTGCTGCACAGGTTTTTATGCCAACATCATGCAACCGTCACATAGCATATTGTGTCTGAAGCTCAATTTTTTATGTCCTGTGCTCTGACACACTCAAGATGCTTGTTAGGAGAGTCGCAGGACGTGCGCCATGCCAGGCTTGGGAGCCTAACTTTGTTCCTCCAAATTACTAAAGACTTTCAAGTCTAACTAGGTTAAGACCTCTCTTAGTTTGTCCTGTTAACCTCTCTTAGTTTGTCCTGATGTTGTCACAAATCTTGGGAAAGCCTACAGTGTACTGCATATTGTTGATTTGCTTTATAAACATTCGACAATAATATGAAATTATCTCCTAAAGATGCCACCTATTGTGGCATTTTCTCCCCTGCACACACCCAGTATATTGAGTCACAGTTGTCTTGCAGACTCAAATAGGACACAAGAACCTTGCTCTGGAGAAGGGACAGAGCTTGCTATACCCTTTGAAGTTACTGAAGGATTGGGAATTATGACATTAAGCTCTACAGCACAGCTGAGGAGCTCATCACTGCAAAAGTCCCAAGCCTCTGCAGCATTTTGGCTCTTTGGTGACCTCCACCTAGTAAGAAGCAGGCCAGCAAAAGGGTGGGGTGCTTTGCTTTCTATTTCCTCCCACTCCTGACCCCAGCCCAAGATCTGCAGAGGCACTGCAGTGCAACTGCATCCAATGAGCTCAGGCCCCTGACAACTGCAGGAGACAGACAGATCCAAGAGTCACAGCTCTCACCTTGCACCATTCAGGAGGGAGCCAGAAGCTGCTGCAAAGCCCTGGGGTCGAGGAGTTAAAAGGGTGGTAGTGTAGCAAGGGTAGGTAAACTGGAAATGTCCTAAAAGGCAACCCTATGGTTGTACTTTAAAGTCTCCAATGAAGATGGGAAGCTGATAGTAACTTTCCATAGGGTCCTGGCTAAACGCTTTTCCGTCCACCCCCTCAGACCTGCCCAAAGTTACATAAGCTGCAGCTGAGTCCAGGGACAGTAATGACACTGTGATGCCACTCACCATGGCCTGCTCAATCTTGTTGTCTAGGGCCACCACGCTCGCTCCGGAGGCACTGCCAAGACAAAAAGCAAAACCACCCATTACTCACTCTTTAAGTGCAAGGCAGCTGTGGCCGAAGTCCTCCATCTGCCTAGGGTCTTCCTCTCTCTTGTCTCCCTGGCCTGAGTTCCAGGCCCTTTAGTGTTTAGGTCCCTCTTCAACCCTTGCAGGAAGCTGTACTTCTCTAACCCCGGCTAGCTTTGCTCGGCCCCGCCCTGAGTTCCAACGGATTGGAGCCCCACGCGGTTTCTGAGGCGCCCAGGCCTAAGCGGCCTGCTTTCAGACGATTTGCAAACAATAGAGTGCACGCCCGGGGGGGGGGGGTGAGGGGAGCTCCTGCTGTGGGCCCCAAAGGTTCCGGGCTAACCTACCGATCTCCGAACCCAGCTAGGAATTCCTTCTCTATTCAGGAGCTTCCAGCCTTCTTCCAGACCATGCACAGCCTGCCCTAGACCTGCCTAGGTCGCGGCCCCCTGCCTTCTCGGAGGGAGCTGCTGGTTCTCACCACGCAGCAGCCGCAGGGACGCTCCACCAGAGGATCCCAGCGCGGAGGTGACCCCCCCCCCCACTGCGTCCCCTACCCCCGCCCCTTCCCAGGATGCTACACCGCGGGAACAGGGACCAGTGCAAGACTAGCTAGCTCTGAGATCCACCTCGCAGCCCAGCCCGTTGGCTCCATGGCTTGATTCAGCGCTCGAGCTCGGACTAGTAGTTACCTGTTATCCAGTTTAACGGAAACCACATCCCCTCCAAGCAGAGAAGAGAAGAAGGAGATGGAGAAATTGTGCAGCTGATAGACCGCCACCTCCATGGGGGTCTGATACATTTCGGTGTTCATGATTCGAGTTGCCGGGAAGCTGTGCCTGGCTGCTGGCGCGCTGCTATGGGATAGGCTGTGGCGCCGCAGTCTGGCCCTGGAGCTAGTAGTAGGAGGAAGGCTGCAGTGCAGAACCTGAGCAAGTCAGGCACTTCCAAGCTGGAGTTGAAGGGAAGTGGCTCGAGGGGTGTCACCAAGTGTGTCACAAACTCCACAGCTGCCAGCCCAACCCAGACTCAGAGATAATTTCGGCTCCTGGTTCTTTATATAGGAGGAGCCGGCTGCGTCACATGGCGTCAGGGGCCATGCAAATGAGTACTGTATTGGGCTTTGTGGCCCAGTTAAACCACATCCCCCTCCCTGAACCTTAGTCAGGGAGTGTAAACAGTTCAGCACTTTCTTGTGCCAATTGGCATCTCCAAAGAGGACTTTGGAGGCTGGTAAAAAGCAAAGTGGAGTGCATTTCTAGAGAAAGAAGAAATACTCTAGTAGGAGATAGAAAGCATTCAGTAGAGGGCGGTCCTGCATTCATAAGCTTTCCGGGTGACAGTCAATGTGCTCTAACTGGCTTTGCAATGCTCTCCTAACACTCTGTGAATGCCTACTCCCACCATTAGGAATCTCACTTTCTCCAGCTGACTGCCCCATCAGCCAATCTCTTTCCTTGGACACAATTTTCTATCTGTATGTTCACTCACTCAGCAATGCACTTGTCCAGCAAGTATTAGCCAGATGCTTACCTAGCCCGGCACAAACTCCAGAACCTGGTCAACTCATCTCTTCTTTGACAAGTGCAAATGTGAGAATAATGGGTGGTCTGCATGTGATACATGCACAGGTCTACACTAATCTATGCATGCATGTATGTGTATGGGGAAAGGTTACCCAAGAACTGATGAGATGACAGATGGGTGACAGAGACTGATGAGATGGGTGGCAGAGGATGTGGAAAGATGACGGCTTGTGGAGACAGCAATGGGGTGACCACAGATGCAAACTTTTTTCTCTTTGGTCTCTACACCCTACTCTGCAAAGAAAATACATTCAACACTATATTACCTGAGAGCTCATGACCCTATTTATTTTTATTTTATGTTTATGGGTGTTTTGCTGGTATGTATGGTTGTGCACCACATGAATGCCTGGTGTCTGTGGCCAGAAGAAGGCATTGGATCCTCTAGGACTGGAGTTACAGAAGATTGTGAGCAGACATGTGAGTGCTGGCAATGGACTGGGTACTCTGGAAGAAAAGCCAGTGCTCTTGCTGCTGAGCCATCTCTCTAGCCTTAATTTTATTTGTTTGTTTATTTACTTACAAACAGGGTCTGTCTATGTAGCTCAAGATGGTCTCTAATCACAATTTTCCTAAAATCTGGGATCATAGGCTGCAACAACATGACTTGGCTATTTTTTAAAAACATTTTTTTAAACTTTCTTATACACAGCAAGCTGAAGAAGAAAACTATAAACCAAAGTTACACATAAACTGCCTCAGGAAAACAGTGCCATGTGATGATGTAACAGTATAAACTGTAAACAGGAGCCCCAAGGAAAGGAAGAGTTAGGATTTTTCCAGGTGCTCCTAAGCTGAAAACCCTGAAGCATCCACACCAAGGGCAACTTGCTTCCCAGGAATCTCAAAGTGCTGATAATAGTTCCATCTACATATGCGTATTTCTTGTTTTCCCCCAACTTTTATCCTTATAAAATATGAAATAATGAACGATACAGTAAATCCACAGAGAAACTCCATGCCCAGGGGAAATTTGGTCAAACTATAAATAAATCCACTTTTATTTACCCACTTCTGTTTACTTTAGAATACAGGAAACTAAGCTGGTATGTTGTGTACCTAAGTGTCTAGTAGTAATGGGTACTTAATGATGCCATAAGGAAAATGAAGTTTCTGTTGTCTAATAAAATTACACATCTGCATCAATATATTTTCATTCTTTGGAGTATTATAAAGAAAGGAGGGAAGGAAAGAAAAAGAATGAAAAATGAGGTGGCACCTAAGTCTTGAGGTTCTTTCTTCCTATTCCTTCCTAGGAGAGGCCACCTGGTGGACACAATTAGAACTGCAAACATAAGAAACAATATGGGCAGAGAAAGGAGTAAGTGATGCAATCACTAATACTGTTTACACCAACCCAGGACTAGAGGAACATTAGGTTCCACCAACATATACAATGGTTTGCATGATGTACACATAAATCGGTGCTCTACAAGCTATGGTCCAATGAAACAGCCTAGTGCAATCATTCTATTGGAAAAGTACTAGGACCTCTTATCAGCAAAGGAGGTAATTATTTGCTTCAGGATATTTCTCTTAGACAGGTACCTGGTACTGACACCCTGGCTAAGGCCCCAGCCAAGCCCAATCGGAGACCTTGACTTTCTCCTGGCTTTTAGTGCAGTTATGCCACTGAACATCCACTGTTTTCAGCTATGAAATGAGCCTCCACTTGTAGATTTCAATGGTAACATATTCAATGCCCACTGCATTTGCAAAGAGCTGACCAATAAACTCTCCAAGCTAATCATTTGCATAGCCCATTTCATACCATTTTAGGACGGAGATAATGCCAACCTCAGGATATTGTTAACTTCAGGCACTAAGTGGTGTGAAGCAGACAGAACAAAGTATAGATGATATTTATAGGTCATCAAGAATGTCATCTGAAGCAGAAAGAGAAAACTTTTAAATTAGCAATTTAGCTACTTTCGGAGTTCCCTGATTTATTAACCTTCCCTCTGCACCTAGAGCAGAGCTGAAAGAACTTCTGAGGTGTGTGTGTGTGTGTTGTTAATTTTTCCTAAACTACTGCTACTCACCCCAAGATTACAAAGGAGATAGTGGGAAGGCAGTAGGCAGTAGGGATAAAACAGGTTGGCAGGGGCAAAATACCACCAGGAAAATGGGGTACAAAAGAAGTAAAACAACCATCTTGGTGCAGATTTGGAACCAGTGACAGAGAAATCCAGGTACTTTGAGGAGAGAAGAGAAAAGAGGAAATAGGGGTTGCTCACAAGGTTGAATTGAATTGCTCACTAATTATTCTTCAAATAAAACACAAGCTGAGTCTGAGTGTTACTGACTGTAATATTTACCACTAATGGAGAACTAGCTATGGGCTGATGCTGGCTATACCACAAATCCTACATTTTAGACACTATCACTACCATTTACAAATGAAGAAACTGAGGGTTTAGCTACCTTGCCCAAGATGATGAATACAGTACAGAGCTAGGACTCCAGCACAAATCTTCTTACCTAGAAACAAAGGTGCTTTTTTTTTTAAACTATATCAGCAAATACACAATTGTGGGTCAGGAAACAAGTTTACTGAAAAAGCAAAGATTGCTGAAGTAGGAGAACTGAATTGGGAGTCAGAGAAGGTTAAGGAGGAAAGAAAGGGTGAAGGAAAATGCCTGTAGGATGCCAGCAACATTGATGGTATACAAGAGGGAAAAATATTCAAACTGTCCCTAAGAGCTTTGAAAAAGGGCCATATTCATTTAGATGTGTTCAAAATACAGTTGAAAAGTATTCAAAGTCATGTTAGTCTCACAAATGGGAGATACTAATCTAACCTGGTAGTTCCAGAAAGAAAATGAATATATAGTCCCAAGCACACACTATTCCAAATAAAGTATGTGGTTACAGTCTAGTCAGACCTCAAGTTTTTGGGCCCCCACTTACTGACATTCACTTTTTTCTTACTCTTGCTGTACGCAATCTTTAGAATGAGGTCAGTAAGAAAACAAGCATTGTAGCATATGCTTTTAATCCCAAGAGGCAGAGGTAGAGGCAGGCAGATTTCTGTGAGTTCAATGCCAGCTTGCTGTACATAGTGAGTTCCAGGTTAGTTAGAGCTACACGGTGAACCCAAAGGAAAGAAGGAAAGAGGTGAGGGAAAAGAAGGGAAGGGAAGGGGAGAGAACGGAAGGGGAGTGAGTGGTAAGCTTATATCAAGAACTTAGTGTTTTGTTTTTCAGACTCACCCACTATCCTGTGGATTGAGCCCACTTAGATCAATTTCTCCTCTGTTATATGCCCATAGTTCTGTTATGTGAAAAGTAGGCTTATCTTAGTTTCCTGAGAATGACTGTATCCCAGGGTTAGATAAAGAAAACAAAACAACTGATGTAAATGTCTCTATACAAAGATTTTCTAATAACAAGGACAAGGGAGA